GGTCAAGAAGTAACAGTCAGAACCCTGTATGGAGCAATTGATTGGTTCAGGGTTGAGAAAGGAGTAGGACAGAGTAGTCTGTTGTCACCCTGTTTATTTCACTAACATGCTGAGCACATCATGAGAAATGCTGGGTTGGATGGGTTACAAGCTGGAATCAAGATAGGTGGGAGAAACATCAACAAGCTCAGATACGTGGATGATACGACTCTAATGGCAGAAAGCTAAGAGGAACTAAAGAACCTCTTGATGAGGGTGAAGGAAGAGAGTTAAAAAGCCGACTTAAAACTAAATACTAAAAAAATAAGATCAAGGCACCTGGTCCCATTAATTCATGGCAAATAGAAGGGGAAAATGTGGAAGCAGTGACAATTTTCCTCTTCTAGGGCTCTAAAATCACTATAGATGGTGACTGCAGCCATGAAATCAGAAGATGATTGCTTCTTGGCAGGAAAGTGATGACAAAACTAGAAGTGTGTTGAAAAGCAGAGATATCACTCTGCTGACAAAGGTACATGTAGTCAAGGCTATGATCTTCCCAGTGGTCATATACGGTTGTGAAAGCTGGACCATAAAGAAGGCAGAACACCAAAGAATTGATGCCTTCAAACTATGGTGCTGGAGAAGACTCCTGAGAGTCCCTTGGACAGCAAGGAGATAAAACCAGTTGATTAAAGGAATCAAGCCAGTTGATTAAAGGGAGTCAACCCCGAATATTCATTGGAAGGACTGATGCTGAAGCTGAAGCTCCATTAATTTGGTCACCTGATACAAACAGCTGACTCATTGAAAAAGTCAGTGATGCTGGGAAAAATTGAGGGCAGAAAGGAGAAGAGGGCATCAGAGGATGAGACGGCTGGATGGCATTCTTGATGTAGTGGACATAAACTTGGGCCAGCTTTGGGAGATGGTAACGGACAGGAAGGCCTGGTATACTGCAATCCATGGGATCATAAAGAGTTAGACACAACTGGATGACTGAACAACAACAATATCAAATGGATTACTGCCATAGATAGGGCCTCCCTCTCCTCTTTCAGCCCCACCCCCTCAATCCCTATCAATAATGTTCTTTCTTGCTCCAGTAAAAATGTCCCCCAAAAAACCACATCTCTTTGTGTCAAACTTTGTGCTAGACTTTGTGATAGGTCATGTGATATTCTGAAAGTGGGTACATGCCTAAGATTATGAAAACTGTACTTTAGTCCTAGTTTAATCAAATCTATCTTGGCCTCGGCTTCTGCAACTTGTAAAATGAGGAAGCTGGACTATTGCAGGATGGCAAAAAAATGTTCAGTTGGCAATGACTGCCTAAATCACTGATAAAAAATTTTTGAAGTTATGCCCAGACACAAGAGAAGGGTGCAATCATTGATTAGCAATGTCTGTCTTGAATAAGAATAGGGCAGTGACATCATGTGCCATCCAAGGATTAGATGACCCTGAAGATTCATTTCAGCTCCAAACTGCTGAGTATCTAAATTTTCCTTTTTCAGAATTGACCTGTGCTTCGCGTTCTTTGGGGATCCTTCCTCTTTTGGACAATCCTTCTGATTGTCTCTCAGAAACTTTTTAGCACTTTAATCTATGATAAGGCACCAACAGTTGATGAAAACATGCAACTCACCACTATCACGCTGTGTGAGATGGGTAAGTTGTTTCAATATCTTGTCTCTCAATGACCTGGGTGGGAAAGTCACAAGATGATATCTGAGGTTTCTTCCAACCATCAGTTCAATTCAGTTCAGTCACTCAGTCATGTCTGACTCTTTGTGACTCCATGGACTGCAGCACGCTAGGCCTCCTTGTCCATCACCAACTCCCAGAGTTTACTCAGGCTCATGTTCAGCGGCATCAGTGATGCCACCCAACCATCTCATCCTCTGTCATCCCCTTCTCCTCCCACTCTCAATCTTTCCCAGCATCAGGGTCTTTTCAAATGAGTCAGTTCTTCACATCAGGTGGACAAAGTATCAGTTTCAGCTTCAACATCAGTCCTTCCAAAGAGTATTCAGGACTGATCTCCTTTAGGATGGACTGGTTGGATCTTGTCATCCAAGGGATGCTCAAGAGTCTTTTCCAACACTACAGTTCAAAAGCATCAATTCTTTAGTGCTCAGATCTTTATAGTCCAACTCACATCCATACATGACTACTGGAAAAACCATAGCTTTGACTAGATGGACCTTTGTTGGCAAAGTAATGACTCTGCTTCTGAATATGCTGTCTAGGTTGGTCATAACTTTTTTTCCAAGGAGCAAGCGTCTTAATTTTGTGGCTGCAGTTACCATCTGTAGTGACTTTGTAGCCCCCCCCCCCCAATAAAATCTGTCACTGTTTTCATTGTTTTTCCATCTATTTGCCATGAAGTGATGGGACCAGATGCCATGATCTTAGTTTTCTGAATCTTGTGTTTTAAGCTGACTTTAAGTTCCATGATTTGATTATCCTGAAGTGATGATGTCTTGGCACAAAGAAACAAGTGGTTTACAGTGGATCTATGGGGTTTTTAAAAAGCTGTGATTTCTTTCTCTTTTTTCTTTTTTCCCCTTCATGGTAGTGAGGAAGATAATGGGCTTCCTCCAGTTCTCAAGTCTCAGTTCATATCCCATGGCCTCCCCATGCTCCTGTTCTCGGACCAGGCTGGCCTGGAGCAGTTGCATATATCAAAGGAAACACATCAAGCACAGGCTAAGGGAAATGGCAGGGAGTGCAGTGGACCAGTAAAGGCAACATCTGGGGGGAAAGTACCATTTGAGGAGTCAGGAGACAGGGAAGCTCTGAAGATACAGCACAAAAAGAGTGGGCTCAGGCTCAGAAAGTAGAAGAAGGATGGGGAAAGGGCCTAGGCATGGTTGGGCAAGTGAGCAGAGTTCAGAGCTAGAAAATGGGATGTCTGTGTTCTGGCCCTCTATTGGCAATAATTTTCTGCATAACCTTGGGCAGGAGGATACTTTCCTTTGTGTTTCTGTTTTTGGTTTTTATTTATCTACTTATTCATTTATTTTTGGCTGTGCTGGGTCTTTTTTTTTGCTGATGCAGGCTTTCTCCAGTTGTGGTGAGCAGAAGCTTCCCTATAGTTATGTTGCACAGGCTTCTCATGTTGAAGAGCACCAGCTCTAGGATGCATGATCTCAGTAGCTGCAGCCTGTGGGCTCTGTAGTTGTGACTCACACGCTCTAGAGTGTGGGCTTAGTTGTCCTGTAGCATGTGGAATCTTCCTGGACCAGTGATTGAACCCAAGTCCCTTGAATTGGCATGTGGATTCCTAAGCACTGACAACTAGGGAAGTCCTATGTACTTGATCTCTGTTTTTTTAGGTATAATAATCAGAAGGAAAAGAGAACAAGTTGACTCCTAAGAGATTTCCAATTCTAATACTCCCCAGGTTTAACCTGAAGTTCCTACAACTATCTGTGCAGACAAGAATACCCTATATTGTCTCTGCAGACATAAGCACCCTCAATGTATAAAGTTATGAAAGTGGGAGAGTTCGTATAAAACAGAATATCCTGGGAGGGTAGGATAGGGGAAGAGGTTTCTGCCTCCCAAACAGCATGTTAAAATCTAGAAAGCCTGAGAAGATTTAGAGTGATCCTGTCTGGAACTTCCAAGGATTGTAGTGGGATTTCCAAGGACACAAGCATCCTGCTTGTCTTATCTCCCTCATTTGAATTGCAGCATCAGAGGGACAGAGTTTACTTTCTGGGATCTCAGACTGTTTTTAGTTAGAAGTGACTTTGTTGTTGTTGTTTAGTTGCTAACTTGTGTCTGACTCTGCAGCTGCATAGACTGTAGACTGCCAGGCTCCTCTGTCCAGGGGATTTCCCGAGCAAGAATACTGAAGTGGGTTGCCATTTCCTTCTTCAGGGGATCTTCCCAACCCAGGGATCAAACCCATGTCTCCTGCATTAGCAGGCAGATTCTTTACCACAGAGCCACCAGGGAAACCCAGAAGTGACTTTGACTTTACAGATCATCTATTCCCAATACTTCACCCCAGGAATGGGAACTCTATCATGACATCCAAAGATGGCTCCCACTCCTGCTTGTATATTGCTTTGCACAATAATTTACACAATGAAGGGAGGAGTTAAGAAATCCCTTCATTTGTCTTACTGTCCTGCCTCATAACCCAGGAAATTTCACTAGACCAAATCAGGGTCTCAAGGTGGTCAGGGTCTCAAGATGGTTCTTCCCACTGGTTCCAGGATGCCAACCTGGAATCCAAAACACCATCCTAAGCTCTCCTTGGGGAAGGAGATGGCTAGAGACATTGCAGGTTAAGAGTCACACAAGAATGAGTTCAAGTCTCACTTATACTGCTTACTAGCTGGGTGACTTTGAACAAGGTAAGCCCCCAAACCCGGCTCTCTGTGCCACTCACCTGAAAGACACCAGGAATAATCCATCCCCCCTGAAAGGAATATGGTGAGGACTTGTCAGGTACGTGAGAGACGACTTGGACACGTGCTCCCCTACATCGACCCCTGCTCTCCAGTGTCTGCACGAGGGTGTGAGCACCCCATGGGGGTAGGAACTGCTTCTTAGTTGATGTTGCTTGTCCCAGGGCTGAGCATAGCGCTGTGTGTGTGTGTGTGTGTGTGTGTGTGTCCCTGGTCACTCAGGTGTGTCTGACTCTTTGTGATACCATGGACTATAGTGCACCAGCTTCCTTTGTCCATGGGGATTCTCCAGGCAAGAATACTGAAGTGGATTGCCGTGGGATCTTCCTGACCCAGGAATTGAGCTAAGGTCTCCTGCACTTCACTGCACCTGCACTGCAGGTGAATTATTTACCAGCTGAGCTACCAGAGAATCCCGAGCATCGTGCTTTGCCTAGTGTAAAAATAAGAGAAAAATAAAATAAAAATGAACTAATAGGTACCTCCAGAATCCAGACCAGAGTTTTGCACTCGGATGTCCCTTAGCAAGACCTCTTCACAAACTAGCTAATCCCTGCTGCCCCCTGTCCTCAGAACAAACACTTGCTCTGTGTACTCAGACAGCCTGAAATGAAAGTTAAAAAAAAAAAAAAAAAAAACCAGCTGACGAGTATTCAGAGAAACTGAAACAGTATTTCCTTCTTGCTGGAAACTGAAAGTTACTATCAACATGGACGCCAAGCCTCAGAGCAAGAGAATAGCTTTGGATATCAGGGAATGGGAGCAGACATTTCAAGAACTGATCTGTCAGGAGAAACCCTGGGCCAGATGGACCCTGAAGATGGATGGAAGCCTTCGGCCAGACTGTGTGGCCCAGGGGTGGAAGCAATACCAGCAGAAAGGATTTGGCAGGTATGTGAGTCTGTCTAGCTGTGGGCCGTTCTGGGCCAAGAGGCTCAGCTTGGCACTGATGAATTCTTTTGAGGGCTTGTTAAAAAGAATATGTGTCACCAGGCTGCTCATCCTTTTGCAGTTATAGTGTTCTTTAGTATGGAAATGACATGGTTCTAAGCCTCTATTTTGGCTTAATGGTAGGAAATTTCTTCTTTTACTAGGTTTCTTCCCTAAATATTTTTGGAAATCCCCAGGGGATGAAATAAATCTTCTCCCCTATCCTCTCATCACCATTTATTCCAGACTGCCACTATATAGAGACTTCTGCTATCTTACTTCCCACCTCAGTCCAGACTGGCTTCCACGGGCTGCAGCAGCCCTACAAGCCTAGTCCTGGTCAGTACCAGCCTAGGGCTGGGGCTTTCCTTTATAGCCCCAAGAACTGACTAAGGCCAGACAATGGCTTTGAATATTACTTTACTGACGACCTGAAGAGGGGTTGGTGCTGAAGGAAATTAAAACCTGCTTCTTAATGTCCCTAAACACTGCCCTTCCCTTGTTGACTGTCTTCCTCTTTAACTTCCAGTGAGACTTGAAGTTGCAGAAAGCAGCTTCCTTGCCCATGCAGGAAGGTGAGAAATGCTGACTTGGACAGTCAAGTCTACTTTTTTATATGGCATGCAGGGACCTTCACTTCAACTGTTATATTTCTTCCTGGCCTGCTCCTATCTCACCTCAGATGTCCTCTCTTCCCTTCCTTATGGGCTATTAGCCATGACATACATTTCAAGACTTCTATACCCTTGTCCATGATGCTCTGCCTATTCAGCAGGTCCTTTCCTTCCTGCCTCCCTATTTATTCCTCAAGGAATAATTCAAGTGCCCTGGAATTCCTAGGCAGAGTAAGTGTTCCTTCTTCTCCATTCTCATAAGACAATGAATAGTTCTCTCTCTCTCTCTCTCTCTATGTTGGTAACATGTTTATAAATAACTTGTTCATATATTACATATTACAGAACACATATATACTTATATATAATTATTTTTATCTGTAGAACCTATTGCTATAAAAGCCTTCTGGGGCTGTACAGAACCCAGATTTCAGGCCATTGGCTAGAGCCCATGTGGCAGTTATTCTGCTCTGCTTGGAACCCAGTGTACCATGTAAGAGTCTCTCTTTGCACCAGTCAGAGCTCTTTGAGGGACTCATGATGTCTTTAATCAGTTTGGCACTCTCCCAAATGAACAGGTGCTTCTCTTGTTCAGATGAATTGACCTGATAGTCATTCCAAGATGGAAAAAGCAACCTACCAACATAGTTTTAGAAGAATATTAACCAGTTTTTGAAAAATACTTTGTAGTTTACAAGATGCTTTCACATATTCTCATTTAATGCTGACAATCTAACTCTTGAATATTTTTCCTTTTATGAATGTAAAAAATGAGGCTTAGAGACGTGCTTTTAAAAAAAAGTCCCCCAAAGGAAACCAAGGGCCTCCCAGATGGCTCAGTGGTAACAAAGCTCCTGCCAAGCAAGAGGTGCAGATTTGACCCTTGGGTTGGGAAGATCCCCTGCAGAAGGAAATGGCAACCCACTCCAGTGTTCTTGCCTGGGAAATCCCATGGACAGAGGAGCCTGGTGGGCTACAGTCCATGGGATTGCAAAAGTAAGACATGACTTAGCAACTAAATAACAACAACAATGTAAATTACTGACTTGAGTCTCCAACTCAAGTATTGCGGTTCCAGGTTCTAAGTGAGGTAGGAAACAAACCCCATTGCTCAGTAGAGGCGATGTGGTATAGTAGACAGATCACGGCTTGCGATTGGAAACATGGCTCTACCATCTAACTTTGCGAGTTCCTTAGGCAAGTTGTGTATCATTTTACGATTCAGTTTCCTTATCTGGATATTGGGATGAATAACGCCTACCCAAGAGGGATGTTTTGAAGATGAAATGGGATAATACTGTAAAACATTGCTTCAGAATAGGCACTCTGTAAGAGTTCTCTGTGACCTTGTGAAGACCAAATTTCACTGGCAAATGGCAGAAATGTTTTTCTCTCTGTGACATTCAGAGATGTTTTACTGGCAAAGAGGCAGACTTGGGACCACATCTGGGTGGGAGTTAAAGTGAGCCACAGGAAGAAGCTTTATTAGAAACACAGTCCCTCTCATTCTTGTCAAATTGTCAATATCACATGCACTTTTTCAAGTTGAAGGGGTTCTCAGAGACCAGGCCAGGCCCATTTCCCTCAGGTTGGCAACAGCTGAGGGTACAATGATCTTCTGTCTGCCTGCAGGTTCTCGTGTTCCTCATGCCGTCGAGGCTGGGCTTCTGCCCAAGTGAAGATCCTATGTCACATGTACCTGGAGAACCAGAAATCCCCAGGCAAGGTGCTCATGCGGATCTTTGGACAGAGGTGCAAGAAGTGCTCCCGGTCTCAGTTTGAGAAGCCTGATTTCTCCCCGGAAAGCAGAAATAGGATTCTGCAAAACCTGGTGCAGCGTGTTCTGGAGAAATTCTACAGAAATGGTTTCAGGAAGGTTTCGGAGTTACCCGTGATCCCAGAAGTACCTTTGAAGGGGTCCCACGACACGGCCAATTGTGAAGCATGCGTCCTGGGCTACTGTGTACTGAACTCAGAAAACGGCATGACAGGGCCAGAAAGATCCTCTGTCTCCTACATGGAGACTGGGAGTTCCTCTCCTCACAATGGTGACAAGTGTGGCCAAAACCGATCTAGGAACCACTTAGCAGTGGGGAGTGGGTATTCTGGCACCCATATAGGCTCAGGGCCCAGCCATGTCACTGCTGGGATCCAAGTGCCTGGGAAAGGCCCTCAGCCTAAACGGGAGATGGGCCAGCTGTTCACACCAGGGGCAGATCGACAGGCTGCACGGGCAACTGGCCCACAGCCCATCCGAGTAGCAGGATCACTTCCCCCAGGGTGGACAGATCCACGGCCCATTCAAGCAGTAGGCCCACTACCTACAGGGCATGCATATTCACAGTCTACACGGGGGAGAGGACCACAGGCCCCCCGGATGACGTACTCTCAGGCTATAAGGAAGTCAGGCCAGCAGTCAACACACAAGGCACAAGCCACAAAAGGGGCACAGCTTCAGGCCACAAAGGTGACAGAACCACAGCCCACCAGAGTGACAATCCCAAGGGCCACATCAGGATCAGACAGCCAGGCTAAAGGGATGACAGGCCCCCCACCACAGAGGTCAAGCTCACAGCCTACACGGGAGGCAATCCCGAAGGTCACAGTAGGGTCAGACAGTCAGGCTAAAGGGATGGCAGGCCCCCCACCACAGAGGTCAAGCTCACAGCCTACACAGGAGGCAATCCCGAAGGCCACATCGGGGTCAGACAGTCAGGCTAAAGGGATGGCAGTCCTCCCACCACAGAGGTCAAGCTCACAGCCTGCACGGGAGACAATCCCAAAGGCCACAGTAGGGTCAGACACTAAGGCTACAAGGAGGGCAGGCCTCCCACTGGGGTCAAGCTCACAGCCCACACGGCCACATGTAGGACCTTCATGTGGAAGTCAAGCTGCCTGGGGCAGGGAGGAGAGGTACTCACCTGGAGGGTCTGTATCAGACAGCTTTTTCAGATTACCTCCTTCAAATGATCTCCGTAACCAGGAGCAGCTGTTCAGGTGGGGCTATGTCTGTATTTTTGCTCTGTTTACCTTTCTGGTGTCTAAATACTTATGAGTAGAATGATGGGGGCGGGGGAAGAGCTGTCTTCTCTTAATTCCATGATAGTCAATGAACTGGCTGCCATTTTAATATGACAAAATTTGCTCTGGGACCAACGCAGGGTCAAGTTTAGAGGATAACCAATGGATCCTGGACCTCCTCTGCAGGTAGTTTAAAACATGACCCAGGGAATGCAAATTGATTAAGCTACTATAAAGAATGCTATGGAGATTCCTTTTAGAAAATTAAGAATAAAGCCATCATATGACCCGGTAATCCCACTACTGGGCATATACCCTTAGGAAACCATAATTGAAAAACACACTTGTACCCCAGTGTTCATTGCAGCATTATTTACAATAACTAGGACATGGAAGCAACCTAGATGTCCATTGACAGATGAATGGACAAAGAAATTGTGGTACATATACACATTAGCTACAGAAAGGAATGCATTTGAATCAGTTCTAATGAGGTGGATGAATCTAGAGCCTATTATACAGAGTGAAGTAAGTCAGAAAGACAAATACTGTGTATTAACACACATATACAGTATATATGGAATCTAGAAAGATGGTACTGATGATCCTATTTGAAGGGCAGCAAAAGAGACGCAGCCATCAAGAACAGACTTAGGGTCACAGTGGGGGAGGGAGAGGGTGGGATGACTTAAGAGAGTAGAGCTGAAACACATACATTACCATATGTAGAACAGACAGTCAGTGGGAATTTGCTGTATGATGCAGGGAACCCAAACCAGGTGCTCTGTGACAACCTAGAGGGAAAGGATGGGAGGGNGAGTTTTAAGAGGGAGGGGACATATGTATACCTATGGCTGATTCATCTTTATGTATGGCAGAAATCATCACACTATTGTAATTATCCTCCAATTAAAAAAAATGACCTCACAGTTAATGGAACCAATAATATTTGTTAAATCATTAAAAGATTTTTGCTGGTGCATTCACTCATTCATTGATATCAATATATATAGACCATATCTTGACTAGAACTGAGGGTCCTGAGTTTCATCAGAAAATTATTGTAGTATGTTGAATAATGGTTCCCCCCAAATGTCGATATCCTAATCTCCAGAACCTGTAATATGTCACTTCACAAGGCTAAAGGGACTTTCCAATTGTGATTAATTTTAAGTATCTTGAGATGAGGAGATTATTCTGTATTATCCAGATGGGCCAAATGTAATCACATGGGTCCTAATAGGAGGGAGGCAAGAGGGTCAAGGGGCTTCCCAAGTGGTGCTAGTGGTAAAGAACCCGCCTGCCAGTGCAGGAGACATAAGAGATGCAGGTTCGATTCCTTTTGTCAGGAAGATCTCCTGAAGGAGGGCATGGCAACCCACTCTGATATTCTTGCCTGGAGAATCCCATGGACAGAGAAGTCTGGTGGGATGTGGTCCATAGTGTCGCAAAGGGTTGGACACAACTAAAGTGACTTAGCAGGCAGTACGCATGCACAAGTCGGTCAAAGTCAGAAAAAGGAAATGTAACTGTAGAACTAGAGATCGAACTGTTGTGTTCTAAAGGTGGAGAAAGAGGTCACGAGCCAAGAAATGCATGCAGCCTTTAAAAGCTCATAAAGGCAAAGAAATACATTTTCCTCTGGAGTGTCCAGAAGGAGCCAGCTCAGCTGACATGTGACTTTAGTTAAATGAGACTGATTTTAGACTTTTAACCTCCAAAACCATAAGATAGTAAATTTGTGCTGTTTTTGAGACACTAAAATCATGGCAATTTGTTTTAGCAGCAACAGGAAGTTGACATCACTGCAGGGATCAGGCAATTATGTTTTAGAATGCTTTAGCTTTAACAACAACATCAAAGATCATAGATTAGAAATACTGACATGCCTACCCCTCTTGTTCTTTTTTTCTCCTACTTAAACTAACTCAAATATTCCCACCCCATCCCATAGAGATTTTCTCAAGAGTCATCAAATCAAAAGTTTAGAATGGAGATATTTGGGTGGGCTTAAGTAGTCTGGTGACCCCCAAGGAGGCTACCTATCCTTCTTGCCTTGGATTGGAAGCGTGTAAGAACTTGCCAGTCCTGTGATCTTGTGATGCATAACTGCATCTTTCTTTCTCTATTTCCATCTCTGTGTTAGGCATTTTACATGGCTCTCACACTGCCATCTCTACATTCCCACTTTCAAAATCAAGCTCATCAGCATCTCTGGTTTTCTTGTTCTAATTTGCCTCAGTCACTCAAGCTTATCACCTGAGAATCATCTTTAACTTCTCCTCCCTGTCACCAATGCTTATTATCCCTTCTTTTGTCAAGTTGCTCCCATCTCTTCCACTATGTTTCCCTATCAACCCCTCTCCTCAACCAGGTCAGGGACTTGGATTATTGAGTTACTGAGGGGATTTGGATTTTATCTCATAGGCAGTGGGGAGTCATTGCAAACATTTGAGAATATGGGCAATTTGAGTAGAATAACATTTTTAAAATATTATATCTTTCTGGAAGAGAATGGAATAGAGGATAGAAACAGTGAGGAGTCTGGCTTGAAATAAGAGAGTGGTAAACACAGAGGCTTCCTTGTTGGCTCCGTGGTAAAGAATCCTTCTGCCAATGCAGGAGTCACAGGAGATGTGAGTTCCATCTCTGGGTCAGGAAGATCCCCTGGAGGAGGAAATGGCAACCCATTCCAATATTCTGGCCTGGGAAATCCCATAGACAGAGGAGCCTGGTAGGCTATACAGTCCATGGGGATCACAAAAGAGTTGGAGAAGACTTATCGACTAAACAACACAACAATATAAACACAGGGAGGGTTCTTGTAGATAATAAACATCTTGAAGGAATTTGAAGACAAGAACTGCAAGATGGCAGAAAACCCAAGGCTGAAAGCATTTCTTTTGGTTTTTTCTGGCCATCTCATTTCACTTCTTCTTACGCCACTTCTATAAGCACTCTCCTTTTATATATGCCCCCATCTTCAAGCCGCTTTACTGAATGTCTGCATTTCTCCTGTTTTCATACCTTTTTGTTTCTTTCATAGTGAACATACACATGAGGATGAGACTTTATTTCTAGCCTGGTTATGTCATATGACCTGTTGCAAGTCATTATCCCTCCCTGAGCCTCAGTACCTCCATCTATAAAATAAATCAATGGCTCCTAATTAAACATGGAGGATCGAACACATGCATTTCCTTCTGATCCCTCTTGAAATCCCACTGCGTGGTAGTGAAATGGGGAAACAAGGCATCAGTTCACAGGGGTAAAGAGAATGGGTGGAAACTCCAACCTGATAGATTACTGATGTGTAACTGACTTAACAGAGCAGAGATCTGTAATATAAGTTAGGCAAAGGAAAACTGAGGTGCAAGGCAAAAAAGTGTGGCATAGTTTCAGAAAGGCTCAAAAACTGTAGGCAATAAGTAGCTCTGAAGTTGGATATTAGGAAGTCTGAAGTGGGAGGATTGGCTAAAAGCCTTTATAAAAAGTTCCTTTTCTCCACTCCATGCAGCCTTGTAACCACTCTTAACATACTCCAGAGTGAAGAGTGGAGGTTTGTTCTCTGAAGACACTGACCCAGAGGGACTTGAGGCTTAGGAACTTGGGCATAGTTAAGGGAGGGAGTACTGAGAGGCAATCAGAAAGATAGTGAAATTCTTCATACTGAGTATAGGTACTCCCTTAGCCCACTAAATAACAAGGCGAGCAATTAATTCTGTATGCAAGGAATATAGGACATACTTTTGGCTAAGGAAAGGTATGAGATACGGATATACATTTTTGTTAATGGAAAAAAAATTAAATTTTTCCTAAAGTAAAACTGATTATTTCAGAATGGAAAGAAAGGAAAACAGAGAAATGGAGGACAAAGTATGGACATATCTGTATCTACAGAGAGAGAAGGAGCCTGAATATGAGCACAGGAAATTTTACCTTGTCTCTCATCAAAGTAAAATTAAACGGTTTTTAAAAACAAGCCTTAATATTGATAGTATATTTATGTAAAACTAAAACTTGATTTTTTTTCATCTACTTAAAGGACAAAGTTTTACCGGTCTATTTCACTTTTCTCTGAAGAGGTTGTGAAAGATTTTTCTTTACCTATTAAATAACCTGCCTATAAAACAGAAGTTCTATGCTTTGTCAAAATAATTTCCTGTGCTTTGTCATCTTAATCAAGACTTTGATAACTTAAGAAAACTGAATCTTCTCAATATTAAAAGAGTGAAGTTTTGTTAACAACTATGTAACCACCTGTATTAGCCTTTGAAACACTTTATTGTCACTTTATCAAATAGAAAGTTAAGTATTGTTTATTAACGGTTTGTGATCTTATTTAGTTAAGTGTCTGAACCTTTTGATATTTTTGACAAACTTCCCCAAATTAAATTCTAAATCAAGTCTTTTTGATCTTGAACTAATTTTAGGACTTCTCACAGGGCCCCTGAAACATCTCAAAAGATTTGTTCTCTCTCCTATTTCTTTTTTTAATTGAAGTATTATTGTTTTAGAATGTTATGTTATTTTCTGTTGTATATCAAGGTGATTTAGTTATATATACTTTTTCATATTCTTTTCCATTGTAGTTTATTATAAGCCGTTGAATATAATTCCCTGTGCTAAACAGTAGGACCTTGTTCTTTATTTTGGGTATAGTACTTTATATCTGCTAATCCCAAATTTATAATTTATCCCTCCCCTACCCGATCTCCCCTTTAGTAACCATAAATTTTCTTTCTACGTCTATGAGTCTGTTTCCATTTTGTATACAAACTCATTTATATTATTTTTTAGATTCCACATACAAGTGCTATCATATGATAGTTGTTCTCTCTCTTTACAGAGAGATGCTGAATTAATTAAGTTTGTTTGATATGTTGGATTACATGAGAAGCGTTGGCAATTAAATGATACTAAATCTTCTTAGGTTATATTCATGTGGCCACACATTATTTATGTTCCAGAAATTATATAAAATCTGATACATCTTGGTATGTTATCATTTTTAATTCTAATTATTATCTTGAAGTGTTGTGTGT